CCGGCCGCGGAGGGGCGCCGGACGCGGCGGCCGTCCACGCACGAGCCCGCTGCCTGGAGCCCCGCGGAGCGGCGCCGGCGCCGGGGCGTCTCGCTGCGCCGCGCCCGGGGAGGGGGCGCGGGCGGGGTCCCTCGGGCAGGAGCGGGGCTGCGCGGACCCGAGCGCTGGTTGTCCCCGGGGCGCCATGGCTCCCGGCGGCCTGGGGCGGCGGAGGAGCTCCCTGCGGCTGCCCTCCTGCCTGGGCTGGAGATCCCAGCCGCCCTGACCTCCTGCTGCGGACCCTGGCCTGCGTTGTGCCCCCCTGCCCTGTGAATTCGGGGAGCCCACCGAAGCGGCCCCTTGCAGGACCGGCAGGCTGGCCGGCGTCGGAGAGCACCCCGTGGGCTTCTCCTGCAAGTTCCACGGGCCGGGCTGCGTTGGTGGCCGCATGCCTGCCTCTGACAGCTGCCCAGAATCTCCGAGCAAGCCGGGCTGCGGAGGGTGGGTGCCTGGGCTGCCCAGGGATCCGGGCTCTGGCTTTTCCGGGCTCCCTTGCCGAGCCTTTCCTGGCAAATGCAGTAGCTGGAGCGATGAAATAAAACAGAAAGCCTGCATCCCACCTGCCCGGGGTAAAGGGCCATGAAGGAGGGTCCCCACCCCACAGAATCGGTCATATGGGGTGGCAGCACAGGACAGAGACTTTGTTGGAGCATTTTTAGAGAAGTGGTCGAAGCGCTCGTGTTTGTATTTATGTTACACAATGACGTTTGAGTGGATTTTGAACCAAAAGGGCCCACAAGACAAGTTACATTTTATTTTTTTTAAACTTAAAAGCAATATAATGTAACTCAATGTGTTTTTTGTATGTTTGTATTTAATGGTAATTTATTATGTGCTATTGTATTTCAATGTATTTTATTGTGTTGTAAGCCGCCCTGAGGCTTCGGCAAGGGGCGGCATAGAAATGTTATAATAATAATAATAATAATATAGATTAAGAACTAGAAAAAAACTTTTAAAAAGTGGAATTAATTGCATTGAAAATCATTCAAATTCCACATGGAAGAACTGCCAAAGTTTGACAGACTTGCCTAAAGCTAAACAAGGAGGAAATTTCTAAGTCTAATTTCTGAAGTGCAGTTGCGGTGGTGGCTGCAGGGGGGTCCATAGCCAAGATGCTGCCACGGAAAAGGCCTTTCTTCGTTTCCCTGCCTGGGTGAAGGGATGCCCAGCTGAGCCTCCAGTGCTGATCTTAATCTAGGCCAGTTTGTAGGCGTCCTGGCCTGAAACTCCTTATTCGTGCATGTGGAGGAACCAGCACCTTGAAGGACACCTGTTGTACCTGGAAGCCAGTGCAGCTGTTGCGAGACGCGTGTAATGTGGGCAACAAAGGGCATCCCAGAGGACAAGCTGCATTTCCATTGGCCGCAGTTTCTAAACGCTTGTCTGGGGCAGGCCCTTTGCAGTAGTTCATGGCGGGAGCGATTAGGATGCAGGTTGTCCTGGCCGGGAGCACCTTTGGCCCCAGGCTCTGCTGCCTCGGAGGCCAGTGGCTGCACTGTGCCTTTCTGTAGGCGCACACGGTAAGCGATGGGGCGGCAACGTGACACGGTGGGGAGAGGTTAAGAGAGGGGTGCGGGGCCAGAGCAGGCCGCTTCACTTGGGGACCAGGGAAGCAGCAGTGATTCTGGGGAGCTGAGTTCCCATGTTCCTGGAGAACAGGGTTGGCAGCATCGGAAGCTTCTGGCATGTGGGGCTTGGAGAGATTCCCTTTGGGGAAAGCTTCCTGAGAGGTGGAAGCTGGTTTCTGATTCCCACTTCCTTATTCCTGGGCAAACAAGGAAAGGAGCTGAATGAGGAGCCTCCAGAAGGGGCTGGAGTTTGCCTGCCTGGGCGTCACAGAAGAAATGTTGGCTCCTTCGGTGCCACAGACTTCCTTGGTTTGGGAGCTCGTAAAGGATGATGACCCCAGACCATGGAGTTGAGGAACTTGGGGTGTGCATCCCATACACCCCCCCCCCAGAATCACAGGTCCACGCCTCCAGGTGAGTGGGTCTTGGAGGCATCCTGGCTTTCTTCTGGCCCAGCACTTCCTTTTGGATCAAGGGCACAGCCCCGTTAAGCTTTCGGCAGCCCCGAATCATACAACAACGTCAGCCGGGAGCCTTCCTAGCCTCGTGTTTGTTTTGTGGGGAGACTCTTTGGCGGTGCTGACCCTGCTGCCTCGTTTGTCTCGCACCGGCTTGGGACGGTCAGGTGCACGGTGCCTCGTGGCCACATGGAGTGCGGGGCAGGAGGACACCACGTGCCCGCTTCTGGCCGGGTGTGGCCTGCGGTGGCCCAGAGCTCGGCCCGCTCGCACAGCTGCAGTTTCTTGGGGGCAGGCCGTACCCACCTGGAGCGCAGCGCTGGCCCTCGTGCCTTTTTTCTTGTCATTCAGCCAAGCGGAAATGGCAAGCTCTCTGTGCCCGCCTGCTCTGCAAAGACTGTAGGGTTTTCTTAAATCTCCCGTGAAAGTAGAGGGCAGAGTGCTTAGGACTGGGGCGACTGGCCTCGAGTGCCGGGCGGTCCATTGTGTGTTTCTGCAAGCCAGAGGTTCGGTCTCTCCTTACATGCACGCTGCGCCACGAAGGGCGAGATGTGCCTTGGCAATGAGTCCCACGCCTTTTCCGTGTTTGCTTTGATGTCCCCGAAGAGTTGTTTGCAGAGTGGCTCCGATTTGTCACTGAGTGATGTTAGTACTCGAACCTCCTTCAGCGATGGTATCGCCCTCATAAACTTAGGGAATTGAAACTGTCGTGTTCAGCTCTACCATATGGTACTTCCCTGAAGCACCAACTCTGTCAGTGAACACGCAGGTCCCGGTAGCGCAAGCACCGGCTGCATCCAGACTGGCCTCCTCTAATGTTTTCTGTGCTGGGCTGCCCTTGAAAGCGGCCTGGGCAATTCAGCGGCTCCAAGTTCAGCTGCCGTGAAACGGGTCGTTCACGTGCACTGCACCAGCTTGCTTTGGCTACCTGCTCGTTTCCAGGCTCAGCTTAAAGCACTGCTGCTGAGCGTCTCGTGGCTTGTCCTTCAAAGGGCTCCAGCCCCTGAGAACATGCCTGCCCCTGGGGGCCCCGCTGGTACCCAGGCAGGGCTTTTTAGTGTGACCACCCTGAAGAAGAGGGTCTTCCGTGCTTTCTGCTTGGCCCCCATCTTGTGGCATTTAACGCCTTCCGTTCTAAAGACTTCGCCAAGCTTCTCACCGGTCCTGTTGCTGCCCACTGCCCACAGTGGCTGTTATGCAGTGCTGCGGGTGTGTTCGTTTGCATTACAAAGGTGATGCAAGCCACCCTGTGGAAGGTGTCCCTGAAAGCCAAGCACACTGCGGTCGCCTGTCTTTCAGCAAGGTGCCTGCTGGCAGGAGCCGGCAGGTGCGCTCTTTGCGCATCCGCCCTGCTGTGTGTGTGGGACCAAGTCAGGTGAAGCCCAGTGGCTTGGAAATAGGGCCAGGGATGCAGGGCATGGAGGGGGCACACCGGCTGGTCGGCTGTTGGTGCCACCTCCGAGGACTGCACGGTGCCGGGATGCTCCCCTGCGGCTGGAGCTGGTGCTGCCTGCGGCCTTCTGTCTGCCCCGCCGTGTCTGCCCACAGTGAGTGGCTTTTGCCGCTTGGCGGGGTAGGGAGGGATGGAGCAGGACGGGTCCGTATAAATATGCCAGGAACAGAGGATGGATCGGTGTGGCATTGCATGCAAGGAGAGTACAGTGGTACCGTGGCTCATGAACTTAATCCATTCCAGGACTCTGGTTGTGACCCAAACTGGTTGTGAGCCGAGTCAAATTTCCCCATAAGGTTCAATGTAAAGAAGGTTGAACCGTTCTGTAACTATTTTTTTTTTAATCGGAAAAATGTGAAGCAAAGTGACAAAGGACAACAAAGATCGCGGCCATCTCCCCCACCCCGAGCACGAGCGCGGCCATCTCCCTACTGGGTGCAGGCGGGGGGGAGGGAGTGATTGCCATGGTCACAGTCGCCACCCAATGCGGAATTCACGACCTGAGTCAAAATTTTTATGAAATTTTTGTTTGCGACCCAATTGGGTCGTGAGCCGAGGCACCACTGTGTCTGTATTGTTTGCAGTCTGCTTTGTTTTTTCTCAGCAGGACAGGTAGAACAGGGTTTCTGGTGACTCAGCTTCCTTGTAGTCTGGTACCTGGAAATCTGGTCCCCCCAGACCTGTGTGAAACTGGCTCGGAGGTGTTTGGCCAGAGCTGGAAAATGCTGTCATTCTGTTCTTGTTTTCCAAGGCACAGATTGTGGTTTGCCCAGCAAATCTTTGAAAGAGAGACTTTGAAGTCAGTGTTGGAAGAGAAGCCGAAAAGTTTTGCCAAGGGGAACGATTCACCACGATGGCTTCTCTGTGTGTAACTGTTTAGTTGTTCTCCAGCAAGCTGCTCTCTCCGTTTCTGTGCTCCACCTGCAGAATGGGGATATTAACACTGGCTCACTCTGCAGGGTTGTAAGGAAGTGCAAAGAAATGGTTCCTATTTTTGCTTGCCAGTGAGGCTGTAGCTTTATCCCTTCCCCTTTGCAGTTCCAGCAGTGCCCTGGCCAGCTGCGCAGGAGCACGAGGGAGCCCCCGGCCCGTGCCTGCCCCCCGCTCCCACGATGAATCCTTGTGTCCTTGCCTTACAGGCTTTGCTTGGCCGGCCTGTGGCCCCTGCAGGCCGTGAGAGGCAGGCCATGTGCAGCTGCTCATAAATGGGAGGAACAAGCGGCTCGGCAAAATCCAGCCCCTCTGGAGCGGAAGCGCTTGGGAAGCGCAGCTGGAATGCCAGGAGCCCCTCCCGCCCGGGCAGCAGCGCAGACACCCTGCACCCAGGCAGACGTCTCGGCCTGACCTCCTTCACAGGGGAGATAAAGATGGAGTGCAGAAGGACCTTGTCAGCCCCTGGGGGTTTCTCGTGGGATGTGGCGGCTGGGCAACGGTAGCAGTTGGCGGTGGCCGTGCTCAGCGCTGGCATAGGCCGGCAGGAGCCGGGCCTGTTGCGAATGCCCTGCCAGCTGCGGGAAAGGGCGCGATGCGGCAGGAGGAGGCCGGGACTGCCTGCCGCCCTGGTGGCATGTCTCCCAGCAGGAGGGCTAGCTCGGCCCGAAAGCTCAGGCTGAGCCTCTGCTCTCTTCCCAGGGTGGGGCGCCCACGGATGGCTAGGCCGTGGGCCTCCGTGCTTGCCCTGCCGGCATCTGGAGCCCCGGGAAGGAAGCCTGGCTCAGTAATGCAGTGGGAGGGGAGAATGCGCTCAGACGGAGGGCAGCAGCCAGGGGAACACCCGGTGCCCGTGGGTGCGAGCACAGACCCCTGCTGGCCGGCCGCCCGAGTGCTCCTGGGCCCAGTTCAGGGCGCTGGTTCAAACCTATAAATCCTTCCATGGCTTGGAGGCACAGTGCTTGTCGGAGCGCCTCTCCCGGCCACAAACTGCCCGGACACGCTGCCAAATAGCCAGGCGTCCGCTCAGAGGGCGGCAGTGAGAGGCAGGGCTTTCTTTGTGGTGGCTCCCTCTGTGGAAGGACCTCCCCAGTGCAGCTGGCCCGGTGCCAGCCACGTCACTTTTCAGAGCCATACCAAGACAGCCCTTTATGCAGCGGCTTTTAAAGATGCTCTTGGATAGCCAGGGGCCTGGAGGGATTCTCAGTCCCAAGTGGTTTTTGGTCACAGGGTCCTTCTTGGCTAGAGATGTGTGAGGAATCCGGTTTGGGGGTGGGAGTCGGACGGATTTTCTGGGCCTGGCTCCCCAGACGCCAGCCTGCTTCTCCCTGCCTTAAGTCCTCCTCACCCCAGGGGCTGTCGGGCGTCTGGCAGGACGCAGGTCTGTGAGGCTGGCTCGCCGTCCTGCCGCCGTGTGCCCAGCGTGCAAGCTCAGCTCTGCTGCCGCACGTGCGACTTCGGGGCTCGGCAGACATCACGGCAAGGATCGTCTCCTTGGCAACCTTTGCGCCGTGAAGGAGCTGTCCGCCCCAAGGGTTTGCAGACCGGTCACGCTTGGCCTGCTCCTTGGTTGAGGCCAGGCGGGAAACAGTGCCTGGCAAGTGCAAGAGAGCCAGTCTGTGGCAGGGCCTTTATATGTTTTGACTGTGTTTGAACGTTCCTTTCGATAAGATTTTATGGCATTTATGCTATTTTATTTTTTTTTAAGTACTGCTGTAAATCCCCCAGAGAACTGCGGCTATCGGGAATGAAATGCGTTCTCCTGGCAGGACAAGGGCATGTGCCCCCCGCTCCGTGTCCCACTGCCTGAAGCGCTGTTCTCCGAGACGGCTTGCAGGGTTTTGGGATGCCTCTCTCTGGGGGAGCAGGGCTCCTTCTGTGAGCTCCCGGAGAAGGAGGCCTTCCCTGAGCGTGCTCGCCCCCTTTGCTCTTCCACTAGCAGGGAGGCAAAGCCCGGTGGAAAGGCCCCCTGGGGCCGCGACATCATTCCGGGCCTTCAGGAAGGCTGATGGTCCTGGCGGGTGGAAAGGAGTGTGGTTTTAACAGCAGCTGCACCCACATGATGCCGTCGCTTCATGATCTTGCACAATTCTTGGAGAGCGCTTTGGCCCCGGAGCCGGCCAGTAGAGCCTCAGCCTCGCCACTTTGGACGTGGCCAGCCCCCCCTTCCCCAAGGAGCCATGCTGCCTTCCGCTGGCCAAGCCCCCACTTCACTCCCCCGCTTTCGAGTAGCAAATCGTGCGTAGGGCTGCTGGCAGGAGCTGGCCATTGCTGACGCTCGGGGCCGGCAGAGGCTCTGCCAGGACTGCTTTGTCCCAGGCACATGGCCCGTGTTGGTTCATCTTGGAGTAACCCCTGTGCCCAGGCCCAGCTCTGGCTTCTGGTTCCAGCACCATCAGGCGCTGAGCGGAGTGCTAGTCCTGCGACGGCCCACCTGGCGCCTCACTTCCTGCATCCCTGTGACCTGGTTAAGTGGGATGAAAGGGATGTGCCAAGCCTGGCAGGTAAATAGGAAGGAAACCGCACTGGGGAGAGGCAAGCAGCAGCACTTGGCCGGAGGGAATCCCTGCAAG